ATAAAAAAAAGTTTTCATACAGTGCATTTACTTTTCCGTCGTCAATCATTTGGTATGGTGCAATGAAAAATCATTGCAGGTGGTACTACAGCTTTGCTGGCCAACCATCTTCACGGCATAGATTAGAACACCAACGTTTTCATTTTTGTTTTGAAAACATAGAAAAAGACCTTGTATTTAAGCAAATTTAACATGATCGCCGGAGGCATCAGCCTACGCAATCTTGTATACCCAACTTTCTGGAAAAAACGTGTCGTTCGCGATCCACTAATTATTACTTATTATCATATAATCATTGGATGTCTAGTGTCGCTTACTGTTCATGAACTCGGTGCTCTCGACTTCTGGCGACTGAAAATATGCCCAAATAGCTGATAGACAAGTCCTTCGAATAGCTTCGACGAAGAGGTGTAAAACAGCAATTGCTGCTGTCGTTCTATTTTAGTGAAAGGGGAAACTGATTTCCAGAAAGAAATTAATGTTATCCAGAAACGATAGACAGCTATGCACGATCCAGTCATTTATATCACAGGTCAGTCTTTCCATCAGTATCTGACAATAATTTCTCTAAACGGCAGAAACAAAAAGCGAAGGAGGACGATGAGTTATCTGCTGTATTTCAAGCAGTCTGAAAAGAGGTATGATAAAAAGGTCTCGTCAATGTACAAGGGGTGCATGAAAAGTGGTACGAATCGAATAGTGCTGCGTCATTCGCAGCCTTCATCGTGCTAGGAAGACCAACAACAACATACCGGCTTTCTTTGCAATGTTAAAGCTAAGGATGACGCTGCTTTATTCCATTCAAGTCAGTATTCGCTCAGCCCCATAAACAACAAAGGGGACTACAGAAGACTAAAAGAAACTTGGTAATAGATAGAAAGTTTAGAAATATATCTGTGGCTAAGATTGTCACACATACCGCTTTAGCTCAATTCCGAACCTCCATGTGACGCCTAAAAGTTAATGGTGTCACAACCTCCTTACACCACCGATCCTACGACTATGAGCGTTGTGTATTTGCTCTCAGTGTATGGAAATAATGCGGAGGGCAAGTTCGTCGCAGGTTACGACGAAATCCTACGACAGCTCCGAAGCTGTCTTACGCACTTCTTACGATCAAATCAGCATGGCCGCCAGCGTCGCGGTCCCGACGACCCACGGACGTTTATTTTTTTACGTGCGCTTCTCACGCGTCCCGACTTCAAGCAGCAAGAAAAAAGTAAAAAGTACTTGAAACAGACCACGGCGAACAAGAACGCTGGATCCACAAACAGCCAGGGAAAGCTCCAACGGCCACAATTCCACCGAACGCGACCAAGCGAGCACGTCAGTTAGGCCTAGTAGGCACTCCGCGACTCGGCGACCGTCAGCCCACGACCGGCTGGCGTGCTGAATGGAATATGCCCGCGCGACCCTTGTGAACCCTTCCCGTATTATACTATGATTGCTGACCTCAGTCTTAGATTAAGAGGTCAATTTATTTTTCTTGTTATCTCCTTGTTTCCCGAGGCAACGGTGACTTCCGCCGGTGAAAAAGCGGTGAATCTCCGACAGACGCAGGAAAGGTAAAGCAGCCATCGCTTTGACTAGCAGACGTAAAGCAGACGACGTTAACTGCGCCAACCCGCCGACGCCGTTAAAGAATGAGGGGTCTCGCCGCACACGAAAGGAGGGAAAAAGTATTTGGGAGGGAACTTGCGGACACTAACACGCTCACCTCTCGGTTCTTAGCAAACAAACCTCGGCGCCTCGGGACACCTCGCCAGTGAGTCCTTTGACTTCCCTCCTTGATGCGCGTCTGCTAGTTGTTAGACAAAAACAACGTACCGCTCGAGTTATTTCGTCTGCCCTCTCTGAAGGGCGAAGTCGAGCTCGCTCGTAAAGACCTGCACTTCCGAAAGTCGCAGGAAAGGTAAGAGAGACGCATACGATGTTGCGAGCAGACGACGTTGCAAAGGAGCAGACGACGCTCAGATAGGGGGTCGCGATCAGCCAATCAGGGCTCGGCGTTCTGACGTCACCGCTACTTCCTTTCTGATGCGCAGAAGACGAAAATGAGCCCACTTGCGAGGCGTATAACTTTACAGGGGCTAATAACGCGGTAAATTTAAAACGACCCTGGGGAATAAAGGTTATTTATGAAAATAGTTAAATAACATCTTTTGTTCGTGCTCCGAGTTTCACGTTATTAGAATATTCCAATATGGTGGGCAGAAATTCAAGATATCAAGAAGATGTCGGTAGTAGGAAGGAAAATGTATTCGACCTTTAGTGTCTTCTCGGCATTAGCTGATATTGTAATACTGTCGCCTATAATTCTTCCGGAGGTTTAGGTAGTTGTCTAGACGGAACCTGTTTTTACAGGGTTTTGCTGAGAACAGCAGAGAGAGGGCTCAAGGGGCGAATGAGAAGGTCCCAAAATCTTAAACGTGAGTGCGTGTGCGTGCGTGTGTGTGTGTGCGCGCGCGTGTGTGTGTGTGTGTTTGTTTTTTTACAGTAATATAGTTTTACGACCGAGTCAAGCAACGGAACGTCATTCTTAAACGATTGAATGTAGCACAAAAGAGCAGTCGTTACATAGCAGTACGAAAGCGTACGTTAGGCTTCTAGAATGTTCTCTTAAAAGCTCCCTATTGTCATGGCCTCCATTATAACAACAAAGAGCGGTAATGATGCTTTCTATCTTTCTTTCTCTTGTACTACGTGTCGGCAATCTTTCTATTTTAAAGCAGGTATTGAGGAAACTGGATTCGCAGAAAGCATCGAGGTAGCGTGTTCTGCCCTCTGCCTCTCGACGGGAGGTGAAGGAATGAAAAGAGGAAGAAGCGCTCAACGAATTTAGGCTTTCGCGTACGCGCCGGTTCTTTGCACAATAGCATTTTAAGCCGGCTGCGTCTGCCTCGGGCTGCTTACATTTTCTCGTCCGAGCTTTCGTGCAGCTCGCCGCCCCTCTCGAAAGACAATGCAGACTCGCTGCTAAAAAACAGTCGTTACGAGGCAATGACTGCGGCTTTCGCAGCGTCGCGACCTTAAAAGGGTAACCCTGCTACATAAAATTGTTTTATTCATTTTTTTTTTATAAAAAAAATTAACAACGACGACTTCTGTCGGTGATATATACTCCATATTGCGGGCTCCGGTAAACTTCTATAAAACAGTGAGACATGGAACTTGCTAAACTCGAAATAATTAAACGCAAAAACGGTAGCGACGGCTTCGCACGGTGGTACTTCTTACAGCGTTGCGGCAGTTATAGGTTTTATGTGTGTTTTCTTGTCCCGTGATCCAACTTAATAAATCCACGTGCACAACCAACGAAGGGCACCTAGCACGCCCCAGCGGAAAACTGATAATTAATTTCGACTAGCTGGGGATTTTTTGCCCCGTAAACGAAATCTCGGTTACACGTCACCTTCTGCGCAATAAGCTTCCGTCAGATTGCTGGCACATCGGCCGGGATTCCAACTCACCAGCTGAGGATCCGTTGGATGGCACTTTTACCTCAGAGTCACCGAGGCGAGCTCTAACCAGATAAACATTAGACAAAGGTAGTTAACGATTAAGTAAGTTTCTTGGCAAAATGTCGGCTCGGGTTTTATTGCCAGCTTTTATACTTATAATCTTCCGTCATACGCCATACAGGGGAAACAGGGTAACCCTTTTCAATACATGCAAACTGAAACAAAGGAGGAGGAGGGTTTGACTTTTACACGGTACCTCATTCAAGTCGAACATATTGAGTCCGTTGGACATTCGATGATAGGATAAGAGCCAGCATCAATTTGATAAGTAACCTCCGGGAAGCCAGCCTCTGAAACGCCACGGACGTTTCGATAAAAAACACAGCGTCTTGGCCCTGAAGGAAAGTATCATAGCGGAACGCCGACTGTCACTCTGAAGCTTTCAAAAAGCTATTTTTCAAGTTCTTTCTACCGTCTTTTATTGAATTTAACTGTTATTCGATTTCTCGCTGTGAGCTAGATAATTAACTATTTGTAGTTCACTTTCGTACTTGTTTTAAAGGTAATCATTGAATTGGTTGCGTTTTGGCTGGTAGTGTAGAGGCTCGATGTTAAAACTTGTGAAACAGGATGATGTTTCGAGATGTTTCCCAATCGCCGATGGCTGCCATTCCGCCTGATTTCGAAACTAAGGAAAGAAAGGAAGTCCTCGAAATTATTTCTGTTTACGAGGGCGCGTAGTAGATTGTAGTGCCACCGAATATGTAAGTAGCAACACAAGAAAACGGCACTAGACGCGCGACACCAAAAGCAGCAGTGGTAGTCTCCATTTTGGACATCAAACCCAACGTGCCAATCGGATAACTAGAGCCTATCTTATATAGGGTTGGATCACACATTTCGATTCCGCCTATTTATTTTCGTCTGGGACGTGGCATTCACAGTATAATGTGAATATTGACTGACTATTGAACTTAGGCAGAAACAAAAATGGAGTGTAAAGTTTACATATATCCTGGCTTTATAAGATAATATTCCAAAGCAAACCATGCGGGCAGTTCCATAACATTAGGATCGTCGCCCTCAGATGACGGCCCTTTGGACAGGGTCGTAAATATAAGTACTCGGTAGTAACTACACCGTTTTGCATATTGCGGTTAATTCTACATTACCTGCTGGAGAAAAAAAAATGAAAACTGGCTAACTACATTACAGAAGAAAATAAAAAAAAATGACAGATACCTTCTGAAAATACATTGATTTAGTAGACAGCACTGAAATCTAGTGAAATCTCCGAAGTCGCTAAGCTGGTGAAAGTGAGCCCTATTATATTGGCAGGCAAAATTCTACACATGGCCCTTTAACGTCCACCTCCCAAGTAGGATGCGCGCGCGCACGGCGAGTGTTCGAGGAAGTGTGCCTTTAAAGTTCCTTATACACAACACTGCAGACTGCGTACCTAGCATAAAAAAAGGCGATTTAGCCGCACCGGTTTCAGCCGCCCTTGAAGACTAATCTTGATAGAAGCATCCTCAAAACTGTTTTCTGGTACGTTTTTAATCGTCGTCTTATGTCTTTGGCTTGGATCGTCTGGCATCTAGTCCCCCGGCCTGGTTTCCGCCCATGCACTGCTCGAACAGGTCCCAGTAGTCGGTGCTGTCCACCCAGGTCGCCGGACAGCCCGTGCGACCGGCCTTGTGCATCCGCGCGTAGTCGTAGCACGTGACCACACCGTCCCCGTCGCAGTCCGTGCCCCACTTGTTCATGTAGTTAACCACGGTGGCCTCCGAGCAGCGCTTGTCCTTCAGGCAGCCCTCGAAGTCTGCGACCGTGGAGAGAGAAAGCGCACGTCGCCTGGGGGTCACGGACAGTGTCACGGACGCGTCAGAGATATCGACAACTTCTACGCATTGGCAACCAACCTAAGGTTAGCCTGTCTTTAGACGTACGAAGCCAGCGCTCGCCGCTGACGGGGAACAATCGAAATGCCCACGTCCGAGAACGGTGTATGTGTATAGGAGCGTCTAAAAGGTTGGCGGGCTTCTATTTTAGACAGCCAACTGCGTAGGGCAGGTGGAAGAATATGTAATGAATTATCCTGTGTGTTCGTTTAGACGGCGGAAAGATAGTAAGACCGGATGGTCGTCTAGTACCACCAAGCAAGATCCGTTATCATAACAGGTCATGGCTTGCGTTTCTTAAACCGTCAATGACATACTATAGGAATTTTCTACAGCTCAGGCCTGTCCTCGTGGATGACCTTCTATGAGTTCGATTGAGTGTCTCCGATGTAAAGGAACTATTTGGCCAGTTCAGTATCGTGGCTAGCCTAGACTCTAGTGCCACACGCAGTAGTGATACAGGACCGCCGGCAGGTACGATGCTCATTCAGACCAACACGGGCAGGGGTGAGGATTCAGCTTAGGACATCTGGGTTCTGGAGCGCGAGCTTTCGGTGCAGATGCCCCCGATCCGCCCACCCCCGCCCCCTGGCCTGTGGCAGGACAAGGATTGCGATTCGTGCTACTTGTACTCCGTACATTGAGAAACAAGGTACGCTTGTACAGTCTCCCACAATACGAAAAACCAGTTCACCTAGGAAGTTCACGCTGTGTCTCTGAGCATTACTTGGCCGGAGGCACTACTTCTAGAGAGGAAAATAGAACCCAACCGAACCTAGCGCCAATTGATGTTAGCCTAGCCAATGTGAATTCAGCACAGCCGCTTGAAACTGCCTCGTCCAATGGGCCTTTCATAATGGTATAGAGACTCTACATTATGTGTGTATCTGCAGCTCAAGTTCTCGCTCCACACTTTGTTTCTCCGGAAGCGCCTACAAGGTTGTTGCTCCGAAGTGATCAATTCCACTACAGTAACGAACAAGAATCTTAACGGGCTTTTACTCTGTTGCAACATAAAAACATTGGACAGCCAGGGTAAAAACAAACAAACAAACAAACAAAAATGAAACACCTTGCGTTCCGTTTTTGCCGAAACGTTTGTCATGCATATATTTTTTCTAAATATTTTGCGAACTTTTTTTTATCAGATGTCTTTCCTCTCGGCTATAAAATACTTTTGAAACCCTGTAACTGTGTGTAAATTGTGACGTATATGTACCATGAAAACTATATTCTATGCATATATTCGCGACTCCAGCGAACTATAGGGGCGCTCTGGTCAGGCAAATATGCGGACGAAAGGAGGTTGTTTTCGTCGTTCAGGACTTGGACCACCATACATTTCTTGCACTCCAGGATAAAATCGGTGTTACATATGAAAGCAAAGAGATTTTTCGACGGTAGAAACCTGCTTCTGTTCAGTCCGTAGGAACGACAAGACGGAAGCATAAAAATGATTACTGAAAACGATGTTTGTTTCTATGCTGCCTGCGAGAACCAAGCCGCGATAGCAGAAGACAGGGTCGAAACGGCCTCCTCTCCTGAGCTTCTCGTCGTTGCCGCTGCGCGGCGTCGGTTTCGCTGGAGTCACCAATAGTAACTACAGCCTCTCTTCCAACTTACGTGGGTAGTCTCCCGGCTTGCCGGCGTCGACCCAGTAAGCGTACGAGATCTGGTAAGGTCCGCAGTAGTAGGAGTTAGGGCCCGCGTTCGTGCACGCCAGCTTGGTGTTGCACTTGGTGCTCGCCTGAAAAATAGTAGACACAAATGCTCATTCGTTCTCGCAAGAAAAGAAAGAAAGGTTACACGAACTTTAGCTTTACAAGCCGAAACGTGCTGAATATTAGGATGATCACGGTAAGCAAATCCAAGGCCGGGATACAGTGAAAAGGCCCGTTGTCGCTGCGACCTCAACCCCCCCCCCCCCCCCCCACCCCCCAACCTACATTTTACAAGACATACTACACGCCATCATCAGCATTCTTTAACACCATACTTCGCTCGTACTAATCTGTTGAAATTTTCCCGCACAAGCAACGAATAGAATTCTTTCCCCTGCGATATATCAACAAGTTATTTTTGCATCATCACTTGAAAATGTACTCTAGAAGTGCTAGTTTTCTTTTCTGTGCGTGTTTCAGTCCTGTAATCTATTTAGAAATATAGTAGCGGTGCGTGTTTGTATTTCTTCGAAATCTTGCTTGCTTCATTTTTTCGTATACTATTCATTGCTAAATTGTTTGTGGTGCTGAATTCCAGTCTTTTTCTTTTTATGTGTTCACTGTTTTTCCTGCTTGGACTGTTCTAAGGTCCGCATTATGTAATAAATAAATAACGTAATATACAGGCGCTTTAACTTTTTCTAAGGAGGCAACCACAACCTCATCGTCTTGGCCTCTTTGTTCCGGGGTCGAATTTGAGGGACTTCCGTACAACAATCGGTGACAGGTTAAAGAAGTGTCCAAACAGGATATTTCAGAACGCGTGAAGCGACACTTCTCCGAGAAATGAAGTTGAAGTTCCGTCCGTCTTCTGTTTGGACATCCACCTCGCAAACACCACGGTTTTCCTCCTCCGCTTCCCTGCCTTTCCGCGACGTCGGTGCCTGCTCGCCTGTTCTGCCGAGGCCTGGTATCCTTCCCTTTCCCGTTTTCGGGATTAGACTTGGACAGCAGCGGAGGCCTTAAGAGAGTGACTGACAGCCTAAAGAGCACGTGAGTGGCTATCCGCACTTACGTGATGAGCGTACTCCAGGCCTCCGTGAAGGACGCAATCGGACTTTGGCAAAACAAAGCATTCCCCCAAGCACAAAAAAAAAAAAAAAAAAGCGGTTCATATAGCGAGGCAAAAAAGCACTTCATATAGCGAAGAAGTATCGGTTCACGCGTTCGTGAAGTGTCGTGTTTGGACCGTCGTTTAAGAATACAAAGGAGGCCCTCCCCACCTCTTTTTACTGTGGCGGAGCGAACGCCGGAGAGGAGATCGCCTCCTTTCCAGCGTTCGCTCTGCTAAAGGCTTGTCCAAACGAGACACTTCAGAAATCGTGAGGCAACACAACTCCGACGTAAGTCGTGCAACATTCCGCTTCCGTCCAATTTTTTTTTCTTTTTTTTTAGAAGGAGTGTTTTTTTTGTTTTTTTTTCTGTGCTTAGAGTCAGGGGTGTCTCAAGGGGTCTCGGAGCCCTCGCCAGTTTTGAAGGGTGGGTTGGGACCCCCGCCACAGCTCTGGCGTTGGTGAAAACACAATCATAAGTACTCTATCTTGTAATCAGAAATGTTAGTGTCTTCCCTATTTAAGTTTTGTTGAGTAACCATCTCTAGACAGAAAGAAAAAAAGAACTATGTTTTGACTAGCCATGTCAATTTTGTGTGGAACAAAATGGCAAATGTTTCAGGAACATTATCAATTCTTAGCGAGAAAAATAATCGGAATCTACGTTGTTTGGTCGGTTTTGTTTCCTGAGAAACATGCGGGGTGAAGCCAGGGGCACACTGCTCATACATTATACAAAGGGCAGTCTGCAAACAGAAGTCACCGCAATATCCATGGTTTCAATGCCACGTGCAAAGTTTTTTCTTAACTTATTGTCATGCGGCATTCGAAGCACGGATCTCGCGGTGACTCGCTCTCGAACCTGTATGCAGACTGTCTTTTGTATAAGCAACGTGATCAAACAGTCAGGCCTCTAGCGGTACGCTTCAGCTGTGGGGAACAGAAACCAAATGTTCTTCTTTGTTTTACATCAGACATCGAATATGACGATTCGAAGGCCACTCTTCGTGGGTCTAAAGCACTGGTCAAAGCGACGCGCTCGTGCTCAGCTCGTGCTAGGTGCGCTTAAATTTCCTTGTTATGTTATGTTGGTAAGCACCGGGCTCTGGGGACAGAAGCTCGATAAAGCTCCCCCTATAGTTCGATCTCCTGCCCAATAGCAGGCATTCCGAGATGTGGTGCACGTGACCTTGAAGCGCGATGACGTTTACTCCTCTCTGTGGTAGAAATCTCCGTCGTGTGAATACACCATTAATCAAGCCAGTTCTGTGTGGATCTAATATCAACCCCTCCGCCCTACTCCCTCCACTCTTTACCAGAGACCCCTGCATCTGACGGGAGACTTTAAAGGCGTCATAAAATGTTATTCGAAAATGATCTCGGTTTCCTAGAGAGCTTCCCTCTCAGTTCTACGACTACGTCACATCAAGACAGCAAATCAGAAAGTTTTGATTTTTGACGTCACGCGTACAAGACAAAGGCGACCAGATGCTTTCATTAGTTGCAAGATGTCCGATCGGTCGGACCTCCCCAAGCTTCAGGGTCGCATAATCGAGCTCAGCCGATGTTTTAGCCTTGTGCCTTATGCGGACAACCCCTTCGACGAGTACGAGACCGGTCACCATCCGACGGCGACACCGACAACGAAGACGGGACGAGCTCTCTGCAGCGAGTTACAACGAGACGTGCCCGTTCTGTGTTAGGGCGAAAACTTCGCCGCACTTTGATGTTCGTGTCGTAGTCCCCCGTTAAAAGGTGATCGGAACACACGTAACCCTGGCTCGTGCCAATGTCGTCCGACCCATCGCGGTCAATAGCTCGAAGCCAGGTCGCTCTTCTCTGTGGGGCATCCAGCAACTTATGAGACCGAATGTCGTTCGCTCTATCGTACTACCTTGTGCTGCATTTTCACAACGCACACGGTTGGCATGGCGAGTGCTGGAACGCGTACACAAAAGACGCCAACGACGCCGAGCACACCGCCTCCTAAACCTTCCGCGCACAGAAAATGCCCAGTGACCAGCAGGCGTTGCTATGATTGCTGGACGACGGAAATCTCGGATCTGTTTGAAAAGGAAACTTGCTAGCAATCATGCGATATAATACCGCCGAATTAGTTTTAGAACGCCACTAAATTGCTCACTTTTTTCATACCTTCCTTTTTATTATTGGAACACAAAATTAAGTACTGTAGATCCTCAACCTTGCCCAGGTATTTTTGTGACGATTTGCTCCTCAAGCTGCCCCCCCCCCCTCCCCCCCCCCCCCGTGTAGGATGGTCGTTCCAGGCACCTACAGGCACCCCAAGAAGCACAATTTTCAAGCACGGTTTGTAAACTGTTGACGCAATATTTCGCCGCGATATTTAAGAATTAAGACCTTAGAGGTTTCTTTAATTTTATAAAATTAAGTCCGGTCATATCTAATATCTTTGCACGAGCACTTTAGTTCCCTTCACCAAAGTTCGCTTGTGTCCTCATCGGGAGAAAGGAGTTTCCCGAGAGAGAGAGAGAGGAATTTTCCCTGAACTCATAACCTGTCGTCGATTATAGTTATGTCTATCTGCCTGCACGGACTTCCACGGAACATTTCTTCCTCTTCGTCTACTCAGAAGACTTGCAGCCTTTCCACTTTGGCAAAAAAGGAAGAGCAGCGGAGCTGTACTATGTGCCGCCATCGATGAGTAACGGCGACAACCAGACAACCGGCAAGCCGGCTGTCTGGTTGATTCCGTCGCTCATAAATGGTGGTAGCTGTCCAGAGGGCTGTGTCGAGATGTATTTGTCCACGGACACGAAAACTTAACCGCGCCGTCGCTTCGCGGCGACGAGACCGACCTGTGTGAGTAATGAATCTGAAAGAGGCACAGCTACAAGCCAGATAGCGCGCGTCGCTGTTTCGCGACTTGTGACTTTATGACAAGTTCTCATGAGCTATGATCTGCCAACGCTCTACATTTCTTCTCCAACTTTCCCCTCGGATACATTGAGTGATTGGCATCTTTCCGCATATTTGAGGCGATCTATTTTTAACAAACCCCTCTCACATCTTTCTTTCCCCCTTCCCCGCTGCCTATGCGAGTCTTTCCCCTACCTGGAGGATAACAATCTGCATCGGCAGTAATCCCTTGTCAAGGTTTTCTACCCCTCAGAGCTGCTCCACCATTTGCTTCTAAGGGCCGCTCGAGACACGGCCCTCGTGCACTGGTGCATTTGACGCTACTTGCAAGACAAACGCAATCGAGGTGCTTTAGCGAGGGGGGCGTTGTCGCACCCGCACGCAGCTATAGAAAATCCCATTGCTTTTTACTTTATAAGCACATTAGAGACCGTGTCCAAGGAAAGCTGAAACGGCTTTAAAAAAAAAATTGAGTGAATGCTTTTCTTCCGCGTAGTTTTTCTTAGATACTCTAAATATCGCCATCATTTGCCGTCAAAACGACACTACACGTGGAAAAAAAATTAAAGACGTTTACAATCCCCTGTAACGCCAAACTAGAGCGCAGCTCTTGAGGAGGAGGAGGGGAAGGTACGGAGAGGAGGCTATGCCCCTCCTCCTCTCCTGCTCGTCTCCCATTTAGGGGAAAATTTTCCGCTGAATTTAGCAGGGAAATTTTTCCGCAAAAATTAGCGGGAAAAATGTTCCGCTAAATATAGCGGGGAAATATTTCCGCTAACTTTGGCGAGGAAATTTTTTAGCTAAATTTGGCGGGAAAATTTTTCCACTAAATTTAGTGGGGGAATTTTTTCGGTAAATGTAGCGGAAGAATTTTTCCGCAAAATTTAGCGGGACATTTTTTGGGCTAAATATAGCGGGGAAGTTTTTCCGCTAAATTGAGCAGGGGAATTTTTCCGCTAAATTTAGCGTGAAATTTTTCCTTCTAAATTTAGCGCGGAATTTTTTTCCGCTATCTTTAGCGGGGGAATTTTCCGCTAAATTTAACGGGAGAATTTTTCCGCTAAATTTAGCGGGGAAATTTACCCAAAATGCACCGCGCGGTTACGCCGACGGCGACGCCGCTCAAGCCGGAAACGGGCGCCTAAGAGCTGCGCTCTAAAAATGCAGCCGCCCGCAGAACGATCAACAGGCAGTGGAGACGGAACGAGGCAATCCTTACCTCGTTCCGTCTCCGCTACGCGTAGGCTCCTCGGACTCGCTGAGCTGCCTGCCTCTTCTGTACAAAGATTCTTGAAACAAACACACTGCTAGACTAGCAACCGTTTACTGAAGAGAAACCTATTCGTCTTCCATGCCCATTAGTTCCGGGGCGTGAAACTAATGGGCGTGGAAGAATAAAAGGTTTATCTTCAGTAAATGGTTGCTAGTCTAGCAGTGTGTCGGTCATTTCTCTCTCTCTCTCTCTCTTCGTATATCCTCCTAGGTTCACATGGTATGTTTCAGAAGCATGAATCACCAACTATACTTCGTTTCACCTTATGTTGTACCGCAGCGAAGGCTAGAAGCGCGAGCTCATAGCGTTGCCAGCCGCTCTTAAGTCACGAGAGCTTGTGCCGCCGAGGTGTGCCCCAGAGCAAGGAGCTCGCGCTTGTAGCCTTTCCTGCGGTACATCATAACGTGAAACAGAGTACAGCTCAGGTACACGCAGTCGCGCAGGAAGTATCGACGACGCAAGATGCTGACTCTGCGAGCCGAGGAGCACGCGCGAGGGTCCGTTTGTGACGCCATACTTTTACCTTCTCCTTTTACTCCCCTCTCTACGCACGTTTAAAGGCGTCTTTTTTTTAAGTAATACTGGCACGAAATAGCCTACCCTTCGTGATATGTGTGATGCTTGAAATTGGACTCAATATAATCGATTGTTTTTAATAAAATTGAAAACCGCTCCAGCTTTAAGTTGTGCTTGCCAGCATCTTTGCCAACTGGGCTGTGAAACGCGTTCTGCGCCTGCGCAGTAGCTCTCTTCTGTGGAATATTGACGCTGCGCATACGTCTGCAGAGCCCAGTGATTTGCCATTTTCGCCCGAGTGATAAGCCCTGGAAACGTGTATAATACAGTCATGTCTCCTTTATATAAACTCTGTTAATTTAAACACCCCACAATATGAGGGGAAAACAAACTCGGGGACCGATCCGTCCCTACACAATTTACCTTCGTTAATATAGAAACCCACAGTTCGGACTATGAGCAACTAGTTTGGGAACGAAAGGTGTAAATATATACCTTTTTTGTCTTGTTATTTTGCGTTTACCTGCTTTCTATAGAAGATCCACAAATACAAAAAGAAAAATAGATAGGTTAAAAAAACACATACAAAACGTTTTATAAAACCTGTAGACCGTTTTGTTTTCTGGTATAGCAACCATATACTCAATCCAGTTTTCTAAAAACGCCATCGTTGCAGACTTCTTTTCTTTCATATTTGTTTTAATCAACCTCCCAGACAGGTTATCATTTCAGTCTGAGCACACACACTCTACAATCAATATTGTCGCAAGATTCAAATATGCCCCGGGCTAGAACGGCGTCAACCGATCATGGATCACTTCGAGAACCGCTGGGGGGATTGGTTTTTGTGTAGTGTACTTTGAACCTTATTTGAACTTGCTTAAAGGGACACGCTAACAACGCCGTTAGTTTCCTTCCCAAGTGCGCGTCGATGATCAATCTTCGAATATATGTTTCCCTCTGTTCACGGTCAGTTCTACGAGTACACAGTATATAAATTACACATCTTAAAAAAGTGAACATTGAAGGATTCGCGGTGGCGGAGATTTCTGGTTTCACCGTTCGCGTTCATATTTTTCGCTCATCTGTGTGTTTATTGCCCGATGGTCAAATACAAGGTTCGCTGCTTTCGAAGAGCTAGCTCTGCCCGTCGGCTAGAGGCGTAACTTTGAACTGAAAAGGTTTTATGTGTTTTCTCTCTCCCTTTTTCTCTTTCTCTCTCTCTTATATACTCACTGTACGAATATTGGAAGACCGGCTAAAGCAAAAGCTTTGGTCACCAACGCTTTTGCTTTATTTTGTTGAGCTGGCCACACGCGCAACCATAATGCGATTTCTATGTACATTTTCGCAAATGCTGTTTCAACACGTGATGTTGCGAGACAGTTGAGTCGACTAGCCCGCTTATCGTCCAGAAATGTCGTCACCCAAACTTCCAAAAAGCAACAAGGCAGGCGCTCGCAGACCGAGGCACTCGACTGCCATCTTCTTACGGTTAAATAATAAATCATTCTATCTAAAAAACAAGACAAAAAAAAACTCAATGTTTTTGCCAAAAAACGTTGTTGTCTAAAGAATGTAAGGAAGAAACCGCAGACGAACATTCCCGAATCTCGATCATTTTCCCAAGCGGAATCGCACAAAGCCGAGGCAGATCCAAAAGTAAATCCTGAATGTCACACTAGGATCCACACTAGCGTCACGCAGCATCTGATTTCTTTGTTTCACGTAATGGTTCCGATCACGCACACGGTTTTCCTGGTACCGTGGCATCCGCGAATCAAACAGGCGCATGTGGCGACAAAGCGTATGGGAAGGTTGTAACGCTAAGAAGGCCGGATTCACAGTCAATAACAAAGTGAGCTTCATCGTTGGGGCACAACATATAACACAGCATTTTATATAAAAAAACGCGTTTTTATTTGTATAGAAAACGAGTTCACGTCACTCACTTGACAGATGCAGTCGAGGCATTGCCTTGTGACGTCATCAACTGTCTGGGCAACTGCAGCGCCTGCGCGTAGTGAAACAAAACATTAAAATGTCAGCACTGAGGCGAACCAAGAATAGAGGGGCAAGGTTTTAAAACCTCCAAGCGTACGTTGTTTGGTCTGAGGGTGTCACGACACCAGGAGAGTCGCGAAATTCAAAACTGATTTGATATTATAACCCAAGCACGGCCGTATCTAGAGTCTTACAAGATCAAAACTAGGTTCTTACAAAAATTTAAAAACAAATTCGCCCTTACAAAATAAAGATTGCGTTCGCAAAGTGAAAGGAACGAAAACAAAAACGTAGTATATTGTAATTTGATGACGACAGAAAAACATAGTGGTGGCCACAGCAGTTTTGTATCCTCGCGCCCGCCCACTTTACAGACACGCTTTGCTGATATTTGTGGCTGTGTTTCACGAGCGGATTGTCACGAAAAATTCGTTTGTAAACTTAACGCATACCCTTCCACAGATATGCATAAATGGCGTACAAATCTAAAATGTGATTTGAGTTCGTACAGAAAAGCGTAAAAATAAGACTTGGGGGCGGTACGACTTAACGATAAGAAATGCTATTTCTGATTAGACAGGATCGAATTGCCCTTTAAAACTTTAGACGATGGCTCTCATTTCCAAGCAGAACTTTACTCTCTTTCTATGAACTATCAGTTTGAGTTTTTCTACTTTTTTAGGGGTTCTTCGAAGTTCGTTACTTTGCTGAGTCTGGTGTTAGTTTTCTAATAGGGATATAAGCAGTTGGTGTGGAATGCTTTTACTGCTCATCTAGTGATGAGTCGACACATTTCACTTTCTTATATACTTGAAATAGCCGTTTTCGGCGAAACGATCTCATTCTAAGAGAACTGATGAGTGATGAAAATACATTATAAACTTACATTAAATACAGCAATATCAAACTTAGGTAATCATCTGAAGTTTTGAACATTTAAAATGGTTGATAATCGCAACTTAAATATATTTATCTGGTGGGGTGTTTAGGTCTAAAATATTATTTCAGTCGCTGTTAGATGGACAAATGAGGTTCCTTTATTGCTTATTTGCAAAACGAAAGCGTCTACTATGACGGTAGAAATGTCACCAGAAGTTACCAATAAAAACTTCTATTCTCCGAAAGTTTCCGAATATTTGAAGGGTTGTGTCGGAATTCCCTGAACACGACAAACCAATTTCAGACATATTTTTGAATGGCATAAGAAATCATTGTTTGAATAAAACACTTCTCCTGTCACACGCGAAAATTAAAGCAATTCCAGCAAAAGTCCTTCTGACTACGTATGGTACCTTAATTTTTAACCGTGCCCCACTCAATCTTCTGACGTCATTTAACACCATGATGGTGATTGGGTTAATTCACTATAGTAAACTATTCTGGTACCATATCTGAAATATAAGACATTTTTTCAAGCTTGCCCCCCCCCCCCCATATACATTCAATATCATTAAAATTACATAATAGACAGGGTTTGCCGTGTATGTTATTAAGTTGTTTTTATTAGCTCTGCCCTCTTCTCGAAATCCGACGCCAGTTGGAATCAAGATCAAAGCAAAATTACGCATTCCGGCATAAAGACCGCCATCAGAACGTCAGGCACTGAATGACAGGAACAAGAAGTATTCTATCTTTTTATCTTCATAAGGTACAGAGTATAGTTACTTCACATTTTGTAGTATAATATTAGTGAACGCTAGAAAAACAAATAGACATGTTGTGACACATAAATACCAACATAGAATCTGCGCCATTTTGGTAAAATAATTACACGCTGCCGTCCTTCGCTGCGTCTCTGCCGTCAAGAACACTCAGTTAGTCCGAGAGCAACTGCGGATAAGTACTCCCGTACTCATCCGTTCGCGAATGCCCCTTTCAGTTAACGTAATTAAATGTTCCCGTGTGACAGCGAACAAACGAGATTCGGTGGCGGATGTCGTCCACTAGAAGCGGCGTAATGTTGCCTTTGTAACAGAGGCATTACAGTCGGCGTCAGGCTAAGAATTCGGTCCAAGAATGGCCTCCACCACGCGCTCGTTGTCTTCCGCGCGTACGACGAAGTGCTGATAAAGGCAGAAAGCTAGCGCCGAAGGCGGAGCATCCACTGAACTGGTCAGTTTTCAGCGACTATTATCGTCAGTGAGAGTTTAAAAAAATGAGGGTGCGGCTTGTTATGGTACAGGCTTCTTGCATCGTGATTCGTCCTTCGGTGTTCTTGTCAGCTAAGTCAAAGAAGTAAAATTAAGGAAGTATTACTTTAACACAACCCCCTCGATGGCACGCTACGTCACAGCGAAAAGTCGGCAATAAAAAAGTCAATGGCAAGAAATTAAAAAAAAAAAATCACCAGACAGAAGCACGTAGCACCAAAAACCCAGGACTCATAACTTACCGAGGACGGCGCACAGGACCAAGCACGCGGCTGTCGTGCTGCGATGCATTTCTCGGCGAGGGGTGATGCGGTCTGCTCGTTCTCGAGTGGCCGGCTTTTCTCGACTAAGCGCCGGCTAAAAGCCGGAAGCGCGCGGCCTTCACCCAGAAACCAGTTCCACGCATGCGCCCACGAGGGTCAGCCCTCTGGTCTCGTCTCGCCGCTTCCAAGGTGAACAGGTTTCCTCGATAGATTCCGGAAACATCAGCTGAAACGTCTGCTACCTGTTCGCGTCCGCGTACACAACCCGTTCTCATCCGACGACGGACCGAAGGAAAGATTACGTCTTGTCTTCGGTCCAGTCACGAACCGCGAAGGCGCCGCGACATCAACCGGAGTGGCCAATCAACTACCAGAAGCCCGAGTCACTTCCGCAATCTTCCACCCGAAGATCTATATTCCGTTTGCTGTACTACCTTACGATGGACCACGGAGGACGCCACGAGCCACATACAGTCATCGACAACTTAAGCAACGCAGGACGAGGCTTCCGTTATGGTCCATCCTAACGAGGAACGGAGTCACATCCTTGACGAGCTTTCTGGATATGTGCGTGCGTGAGGGTACGGCTTCGGTTCATCTTGGGGTGAAGGAGAGTCTTGAGGCAGGCCGTGCCTGGTCCTTGCCGTTACCTGTGACACGTCCCGGAAGAGTTCACGAAGGGACAAGGGCATCACGTCGACGTCACCGCCTGTCGGCTTTGGGGATTCCCCCGGCGAAGCCACGTGCGCAAAGGATTTCTCAAAGCCGGTAGCGTCGCGTTGCGCGGTTCAGCGGCTTGCACAAATCCATCCGCCTTGTTTTCTGCCTCCTCAAGGCGAACGACCGCCGATTGCTAATGAGCGGAGTCGAACGTGACGTCCGTCAGTCTCGCTGTTGTGTGACTCAGTGCCGCCGACGGGAGCGAGGCGGGGAGCGAGGTACGGCTGTACCGCATCGGCGCCATCGCGTTTTGTTGCTGCGAGGAACGTGAGCTGTTTTGAGAGACAACCGGCGTTATCGGCTCTAGGTGAATTCTTGCGTCACTAACGCGAGAGATCCGTTATTGCGAAGTCTAAGGGGACGTTGCGTCACCTGTGGACAGCCCCGCGGGGACGTGATGCCACACAACAAAACCGCGTGTTGAAATATTTTTTTCTTACAACTCATGAATTGTTTTTAGGTTGGTGAGGCATTGGGCTGAGTCAAGCCTGCAGCACCCCGACTGATTAAAATGTATGCAAAGACGTTCACCTAAATATACTACACTTCACCTTATACAATGAACCGCAGCGGATGCTGCGAGCCATCCCTGCCAATCCAGTACTGTGTGAACATAACAGAGGCCAGATTACCGAAACGAGCTTCCGGCCAAAAAACGTGCGTGCGAAAAAACCTAAGAACAAATCCGTATTCACGAACCTTAAGTTACGATGGAATTCTACGACAGCTCCAGAAGTGTCTAACGCACTTTTTACGATCAAATCCACATGGACGACATCTTGCTCGCTTATGTCGTCGCGTCGTCACGACGACCAATGGGCATTTATTTTTCTACGTGCCCTCCACGCGCGTCCCGACTTCAAGCATTAGGAAAAAACGAATAAGTACACTCAAAACTGAACGCCACGGAGACGAAGGCTGGAGCCACGGATACTCGTAAAACATTACAATGGCAACGATGTCACCAACCAAGTGGTCGCCAAGGGCTAGAACGCTAGGTGTAGCATAGCACTCCGACGCAACGTTGCACTGACGTCTCTGGCCTAGACCGTTTGCCCACGACCGACTGGCTTGCTGAATGGAATATGCCCGCGCAACCTTTGTGAACCTTTCCCTTGTGAATGGCTTCAATCCTGACCTCTATATTTGGGTAAGGGGGCCAGTCTCCTCCCCCCATCGACCAATTGTTTTCACGGGTAGTGGTGGCGAACGCTTTCGACGAAAAGTGGCACTCTCCTCACTTTTATCACATTTTTGTGTGCTATAGAGCTCAAGTACACGCCGTATAGATTGCCCTCGCAACAGGGTACGTATACTTTCTAGTATGTTCTTTTTATTCCAACAATAAAGTACACCAACACATGTCGAGTTAGAGCAGTTTTTTGCGAGCTATATGCAATGCCGGTCCAACCTTTCTCTGCCGAGCGTCACGTCAGCATGAGTTGCCATTGTCTAAAGCGGGGGTCACACTGCTTATACATGGTACAAAAGAAAATCTGCATCCAAATTCGAACGCGAGCCACCGCGAGATCCGTGCTTCGGATGCCACCTGGCCATGACTTCAAGGAAAAACATGGCAATCGGTATTCGAACCATGGGCGTCGGCAGTGGGGCGCAAAAGGGGCAGTTGCCATGCCTAAACCAAACTGCCCCCCCCCCCCCCTTTCCCCCGAGCATGTGGGGTGACCGTTGGTTTGCTGGCAAGCGAAAGAACAACGTAAAGCAATTTAAAAATAAAATCGAGAGTAACTATTAAAACATAAAAACAAAGATGTCTAGCCCCGCATTCCGTTTAAGAAACAAACTTTTGCCTCTCCGACACCCACCTTCCCCTCCCTCCCCCCCCCCCCCCCCCCCAAAAAAAAAAAAAAAAAAAACTTGGGTGGGGGCGCACCCGTTCATGAGAACACCGCAATCCACCGCAATGAACGTTCAGTGAAGATGAAACCCAGACTCCAGCCCCGAGTATAAAGTTGGTGAAACGGCCCGAAAAAAAAAGAGTTCTCAACTTTCTTTCGGGACGTTTCATTTTTGCGCACTCTTACATCCGCATCCACTTCTCTGTAGAAATGTTCACTCAATACCGTAGTGTGCGGCGTGTGCCGGGGGCCGTGCGGACATCAGTAAGGAGGTTGGAAAAAGTCGTGACAAGAGAAAAGGAGAATAAGATTAACTATCTTCACGGGGCAAAGAACAAACGCTCCCCGTTTTTCCAACTTCGCTAGCCTAGCTCCAGGTGACATTTGAACGGCAATTTTGTCTGTGTTTTCTCCAACTTCGCGCTCAATGTGCTGAGGATACGGAGGTTCAAGTTTATTTTGCAAAAGCCGCGACGAGTGCCGGATAGCTGATTCACCAGAGGAGGGATAGTTTTGACCCCGAGGACGGGGCTCTCCAGCCTGGGTAATAAACCACGTGTTGTCCAGATAATTCACTGAGGAGCAAGCCATGAGCGACGGTGAACATCAAATCAAATCAAGTTTATTTGTTGTCACATTTCACATGACAACAGGGACTCGGACAAAGAGCTGCTAAAAAGCAGCTTGACAAAGGTACCAGCTCCCGCGCAATTTGCGACAGTCTTAAACACAATTTGACTACAACTAAATTTGGACTACAACTACACAGTGTAGAGAGACCAGTACAAACCAATGCAAAAACCTGATTTATACAATACAAAATATAATGCAAAAATTAGACAAAAATACACAGGCAAGAGAAATAAAACACGATACATTAAAGGCAATGATACAATCGTAGATGAAACAATACACCCTATTCATAATATACTTTAGCAGTATTCAAAAATCACATAAAATATAAGGTACTATGATTCTCTATATGGTAGTGATTCCAAATGTCGATTCTTTCTATACAAGCTATTTAACATGGTGGAAGGTCTGAAATGAAGCTTCTGATTAAGGTAATTTGTATGCGTTGGGCGAATCATCCAAAGGTCAGTCTGTCTTAGGTTGCGTAGGATAATGCGATGTTTTAGGTTGGCTAGTCAAGTGAAATGAACATTATTGTGCAGAAGAGCCCTGTGATACGTTGAAAAAAGCTTGTAAACATACATTTGCAGGATGGAGTTTTTTTCACTTTAGGGATTTAAATAGTGGTTTAGTGGGATCAAGAAATGGAGTTCCTGTAACTGCACGTACTGGCTTCTTTTGTAATAGATGCAACTTATTTAGATTAGTTTTTGTGGTGGTGCCCCAAATCAGGTTACAGTAATTTAAGTGGGAACAATTAGCGTATTATACATAGTTAATTTAATTCGAGTAGGAAGTGAAGTTTTACATTTTGTTAATTAATAGGCCTACATTTTTAGATATTTGGCTTGCACATAGTTTATGTGCGCGTTCCAGCTCATATCTTGAGAAAACAACACACCCAGAGTTTTAATACAGTCTACGAGCTCAATTTTTTCACTGTTTATTGTAAGATGAGGTCGGATATTTACTTTTTTTATTTTTGGGTCTAAATAAAATAGCTTCGGTTTTTTTACAGTTTAATTTCTGTTTGTTGTTTAGCACCCAGGCGGCGATTTGTTTCAGCACTTCATGCACTGTAGCAATAAAAGTACAATGATTGTTCTGGAAAAAAATAGTTGTATGATCAGCGTAAATTATCAGCAGGAGGACGGTATTTTCACGACTCAAGAAATAAGTATTAAGGGAAATTCACCAACGCGCAATACCCGAAATTCTGTGCTGTCCGAAAGCGTATTATACACCTGAAAATTGTACGCGGCAATTAAACTAAGATAAGTTTCACTCACAGTGATATACTTTTGTTTATTTGTAATAGTAAATATTTTATTAAAAGTATCTAAGTTGAAAACATAAAGATCGACTACACCAGACTCCAATGCATCAAAATGAAATAAAAAAACAGTAAATATTTTTGGACTTATTGTTTCCTGTCGATACTTACTCCTACATTAATATGTTCGTACACAAAAATAAAACCTTTTTTTACCGTTGTGAGTTGCAGGTTTTTCGCCTTCTGTGGCCGTCTTCACTAAAAAAAAATAATAAAAAAAAAGCTTTCCACAACAACCCCTTCGCATGATACAGTATGATTTGCAACTAATTACAATAGTTTATTTTTCAGCTTTTGGCGAGCAATTTTCGCTTGCAATATTTTGCCATCGAGGGAAGAGGCACAACGGCGCATGTGCGTCAGTCTCCTGCAAGAAAGACGGTTGCTTCCCGCAGTGCTTGGCAAGAAAATGACATACCATCGAGATTCACACATTTATCAGCGACCTCCGCGGTTCCTCGTTGCCCGTTGTTCGGAAGCGCGATAATTTGTGCATTGAATGTTACCGCAATGTGAAATGCGGGGCATTTTGAATATTTTGGAATTTCTTGCGGGACGCGGGACAGCAGCCCTCAATGCGGGACAGTCCCGCAAGTCGCGGGACGGGTGGTCACCCTATTCCCGAAGCGGTTACCAAGACGCAGTCCAACAGCGCAGTTCCACTCTCAGTGTGAACCGGTATTTATACGTGACCCTTGCTGACCCTCTTGTAGTTCAAACGTA